AAATGGCAAAAAAATCTATATTATCTCTCAAATCCATCTGACTAAGACCATCTGCTGGCTTTTTTCTCTGCGTCTCTCAATTCCTATACTCTCTCACTTCGCCTAGTCGGTCGCTTTGGGACCCTCGTTCTTCCCGCTTTCTCTGCGTCTCTCACTCTCTCTACACTATTTTTTTTTCTTAAGCGCGTAGATGATGAAATTTTTGTATAGCGCATACACAGTCACCTGATTTTTGTGTTGCTGGAATTTTCTGATTTCTTGGGCCTATTTTTTGCCATTTTTGGTCAATTTTACGTCATTTTAAGCTAATTTTATTCTGAAAATGCGTTTTAAGTCATTTTGAAGTACAGTAATCTTCAAATAATTCAGAAAATTCGGAGAAAATTAGAAAAATGGTTCAAAACATGGGAAAAAAAGTTTTTTTGGACAAACAGACACACAGGCAGACGACAACGATTTTTTGAGCCGTTTAAAGGCATTTTGGACCGTTTTCAGGTTATTTTCAGACAGTTTTTTAGCTAATTTTAAGACAATTCAATGAGATTTTTTTGACCATTTTAAGCTAATTTTTAGCCTATTTCAAGCCAATTTTGACCTTATTTCGAGCCAACATTAAACAAATTTTCAGCCAATTTTAAGCCTAATTGAGTCATTTCAATTCATTTTAGGATCATTTTTGAGTCATTTAAAACTAATCCAGACCAATTTAAGACCATTTCTTGAGCCTATTTCTAGCTTATTTTCAGCCTATTTTTTGACCTATTTTAAGCCTATTTTTGAGCCATATCTTTAGCATATTTTAAACTAATTTTTAGCTAATTTTAGGCTAACTTGAGCCGATTTTAGGCCAATTTTAATCCAATTTCAGGCCAATTTTAGACCAAATCAGGCTCATTTTTAACCAATTTCAAGCCAATTTTCTGTTTTTTCAAACTACAGTAGTCCAAATGACCTCAAATTTGGGAAAATCATACTTCGAAAAAAATTTTTTTGATCTTTTTTTTTTGAAAATTTGTTTGATCTACCCCACGAAATTTTGGATTTTGAATTTTTTTTTGAGTTTTTTTGCGGAAAAAATCTTGTTTTTTTTTCATTTTTTTGAGGTCATTCTGGGCCATTTTCAGGCTATTTTCAGTCATCCCTAGACTGTTTTAACCTTTTTTTTCTGAAAATTTGGACCATTTTTGACCAATTTACCCCAATTTTTATGATTTTTTGGCTTTCACAGCTTTTTTTCGCCCAATTTTTCGGGTTTTCGCCAACTTTCCGGACCAAAATTTCTCGAAATTTCCAAGTCTTGCATTTTCAGACTCGATGACTCAACGCGTCCCGTACAACGCCATGTTTTTGCCACCACAGGACCAGCCACCACAGGACCAACCGCCGACGGCCCGTCAATTATTCACAATGCACGATTTCCCGCCGATTGGAGGTGAGAATAGGGCTGAAAATCGCTGAAAATGAGCCGAAAAACAGCTATAATTGGTGAAAATTGACCTCAATGAGTCTAAAACGATTGGAATCAGCTTGAAACGGCCTGAAAACGGCCAAAAATCAATTTTCCATCTGTCTGTGAGTCTGTTTGTCCTAAAATGCTCATTTTCATCCCCAGATTTTCAAGAATTACTGTAGTTCAAAAAGTATAAAAACCCGATTTTCAGCCTCGACACCAGAAGTCCCGCCCACTTCCAGCCAAGCTCCGCCCACAAATCAAACTCACGCTCAGCCGGCGAAAATGATGCAACAAGGACAGGAGATTCAAGAAATTCAATATAATTGTGAGATTTTTCGTCTGAAAATAGGCTTAAAATAGGCCCAAAATAGGCCAAAATTAGGCTTGAAAAATACATTTTTGTAAAGTACAGTAACCCAAAATTTTCAGCCTATTTGAGCCTATTTACAAGCTGATTTCCAGCAAAATTTGGCCTAAAATTGGCCAAAAATTTTGGATTACTGTACTCCAACATATATTTCCAGCCACCCTAGACGTCGTCACAAGCTCCGCCCACCAAGGCCACGCCCACTCGGAGCACACCTTCTCCAGAAGCTCCGCCCACTTTCGAGAGTTTGTGCCGAGAAGCAAGATGGTGGAGGTAGGCCACGCCCCAGCAGGCCACGCCCACTCAAGCCATGCCAACTCGGACTACGGCTACTTAGGGCCCACCCCTTCAGGCTCCGCCCCCTCGGCAGGCCCCGCCCACTTTGGAGAGTTTGCACCAATAAGACAAGCTCCTGGCCCCGCCCACTCGGACCTCTTAAGCCCCGCCCCCTCGTTGCTCCGCCCACTACCACCGCATCTTCCAATGTACGCCCAACAAAACTATCAAAAAGTACAGTATCCTGGAAATTTGGAAAATTCGGGACCGAATTATTTTCTGGGAGCCGAATCTTCCCGAACTATGAGAGGACATGGAGTGCTGACATGGCTCTCGCCAAAGGCTGGAATCCTCAAAACCAGTGACAATAGGACGGTCTCGTTTCAAGCCAATGTATTTTGTGATCCAGTGAGTTCATTTGAAGTATTTTGAGCCAAAAAACTAGAAAAATTGACCCAAAATCCATTCAAATAGACCAAAAATCAAAAAAATTCGAAAATTCCCATTTTTTGATATTTTTCAAGAGAGGATAATTCTGGCATATAAGAGGCGTCACTAAGGCCCAGTATCCAAGGGTACATCGAAAAAGGGTACATCGAGTTCTTAGGGTACATTGGTTCCAAGGGTACATTGGATTGTTCGGTACATGTAGGTGGACAAAAAAAGTAAATCAATATTTTTATACATACTATTTTGATTTCTGCTCAAAATTATAGGCTTAGGCGGAAACGCCTTACAGTCTAAGATCCCATGTACCCTCAGAACCAATGTACCCTAAGAACTCGATGTACCCTCGATGTACCCTTTTTCGATGTACCCTTGGATCGTGGGCCCGTCACTAATCATTTTGTAAAGGAGCATAAGTTTAGATTTAAGTCTACGATGTCTGATAGAGAAGAGGTCAAGTTGGGAAAGACGATCTTGATAAGAAGAGTATGAGATATTGCATTTCTGGAAGACTTTACGGGTGAAGAAACGGAGTGGTGATTCGAGTTTTTGAGAGAGAGTTTGGAATTGGGGGGAGGAGAATAGATTACTTCTGGGGTCAAATAGTTTTTTACATTTGTGTGGACCTTGGAAAAGTATTTTTTAGAGCTTAAAAATGGCTAGAAAATGAAAATTTTGCGATTTTTGGAAACATTTCAAAAAACACCAAAATTTCTCATTTTTATCCATTTTCATGACCTAAAAACAAGTTTTCCGAGGTCCACACAAAAATCAAAAAGTATTGACCCCGGAAGGAATTGAACTTTGGCCTTGTGGACCATAAAATTTCGGGCGAAAAATCCACTGAGCCATCTGGCCCATTTTTGTAGAAATTGCTATTTTTAGGCGTTTTTGACGGTTTCAGACTGTTTTTTGACTGTTTTTAAATTTACAACATGGTTTAAGGCTGTTTTTTGAATCTAGAACTTTCAAAAACGTTGGCTTACAGTCGAAAAACATCTGAAAACGAGGAATTTTTGAAATCATCAATATTTGGCTTTTCAAGACGATTTCTAGGGCTATTTTGGTCAATTTTTGAGACAATCTCGATTTTCAGGGTCTCAACGATCTGACACACTGTCTTCACGTCGGCTTCACACTGAAATTCGTCGCCCAACACAGTAGCGGCACGGACTACAGCGCCACACACGTTTCGCCGTTTTTTGGCTACGAAGCCAAAGAAATCTTTAGGGATTCCAAGAATCCAGTGGATTTGGACTCTTTTCTTCCCCCTGGTGCACGTGGCAAGCTGGAATACAATTTGGATCTCGAGTTTCAAGCCTACGAAGCCTTTCTTGCCGCTTTTGAGAAGCTAGGATCCTGTAGAATTCCGTTGAACAGGTGGGCGGAGCTTAAAGGGGGGTGGGGGCGGAGCCTAATTTTTTGAATCTTTTTTTAGTTTCCACTCTCAAATGAGCAATACGATTGATGAGCCACTATTCCGCTACATTGGAACGTCGGCAATGAAACGCCGGAACTTTGTCGAACGCCGCACACACTTGTTTTGTCTACAAAGTGACGATTCGATGATTTTGCAGGTAATAATCAATGGTTTTAGACTCGAAATTTAATCCAGAACACCTCAAAATACCCAGAAAACCAAAAGAATTGGCTCAAAACGCTCAAAAATTGCGATTTTCAAAAAAGTGTGCCAGATGGCTCAGTGGGTTTTGGCACTGAAATATAGTCCACAAGACCAAAGTTTGATTTTTTCGCAAATCAAAAATTTTTTTATTTTTGTGTGCACCTTGGAAATATAGTTCTTAGATCATGAAAATGTTGGAAATGACTTTTTTTTTAATTTTAGAATTTTTTCAAAAAAATAATTTCAAAAATTCCAAAAAATCATTTTCCAGACGTTTTCATTGTCTAAAAGCTAGTTTTCCAATGTCCACACAAAAATAAAAAAAGTTTTGACCCCGGAAGGAATCGAACTTTAGCGTTGTGGACCTTAAAACTTTGGTGCCAAAACCCACTGAGCCATCTAGCACACTTTTTTGAACATCGTCATTTTTTATCATTTTTGACGGTTTTTTGCAATTTTTTAGTTTAAAAATGAGTTTTACACGAATTGTGGCGTCTGGGAAATTGTATATGTATCAATTCGACTGCAGAAAGCCGAGAAACTTTTGAATTTCCCAAAATTTTTTTAAAAAATCTCAAAAATTGCAAAAGAGCTCTTTCAAGACATTCCCATGGCCTAAAAACTATATTTCTGAGGTCCACACAAAAATAAAAGAGTTTTAACCCCGGAAGGAATCGAATTTTGGCCTTGTGGACCATAAAATTTCAGTGCCAAAACCCACTGAGCCATTTGTCCCATTTTTTTGGAAATCGCCATTTTTGAGCGTATTGGACTGTTTTTGATAGTTTCCAAGGTCAAAAAGAAGTTTAGAGTCGTTTTTCATGTCAAAAAAGCTTAAAATCAAAGATTTTCAGAAGAAAACTGGAAAAGGCCTTGTGAACCTTAAAATTTTGGTGCCAAAACCCACTGAGCCATTTGTGACACTTTTTGGAAAATCGCCATTGTCGACCGTTTTGGACCGTTTTAGGTGGTTTTAGGGTTGGAAATTTAGTTTTTCAGCTGTTTTTTGAGCTGGGAACTGCCAAAAATGCAGTTTTAACAGTCGAAAAAAACACCAAAAAAAAGTGAAAATTTGAAATTTTTGGATTCCAATTCTCCACAATGAATCTTAATTTTCAAAGTTGTTTCACACTGTTTGGGGTCGTTATTGATAAAAATTGTAGTTTTTTCGGTGCATTTTTGGTCGTTTTGAAAACTGAAAAATGCTCCGAATTCCCGAATAATCGAAAAATTACAGTACCCCACAATCTACCGTGCCGTCCTGCTCCTCTCAAACTATTTGCTCCGTCACGGAGGCGTTATGGCCATTGAGGATCTCTACGCATTTTTCACGGAGCCTGGAAAAGTGGACCCATCGATTTTGACCCATATCGGCGCCGATCGTCCCCAATTTATGCAATTGCTCTCCGCCCATCCCTACATTTTCTCCATTTTTCCAAATCGTGCCTTTGTGGCGGCCCGTCGCAATTTGCCCGATTTTGATTATCCCGGATTCGTCAATCGATACTTTCCGGACCTGATGCCCCGCCCACAACGGGTCCAACAGGCTCCGCCCACTGCTCCGCCCACGCAGCGGGAGGCGGTACCCGGCGGATTCTACGAATACGGACACAATGTGAACACGTGGATTCAAAATGTGGCTCAAGAAGTGGGCGGAGCCCATGAGCAGCTGTCTCGAGAGTTTGCGCACTTGTTGTCGCTGAAAAATCCGATTGGAGCACATCCGAAGTGCACTTGCAAGTGCTCGTGTGGAGCAATGCCTCAAGGAGCAGCTCAGGCGGCTTCAAGTGAGTTTTTTTGAGACTTGAAATTGGCTAAAAATAATTCAAGGCCTTCATTGAAAGGTTTCAAGCTATTTTTCCCCCAAAAAAGCCTTATTTTAGACGTAAAGCGTGTTGCAAATAGCTTTTTTGAGCTTAGAATTTGCGAAAAACGGGTTAGAGCCCTTTTGAAATCATTGAAAACGGCGAAAAAACGATTAAATAGATGATTTTTGACCATTTTTCGACTTGAACTTCTTGCTTTCAAGTTGATTTTAGACACTTTCAGACATGAAAAACGACATTTTGGACACGAAAAGCCCTTAAAAACTTCAAAAATCACTGAGAACCATTAAAAAATGACAAAAACAGCCATTTCCGCTAAAAAATGATGATTTTCAAAAAAGTGAACTAGATGGCTCAGTGGGTTTTGGCACCGAAATTGTATGGTCCACAAGGCCGAAGTTCAATTCCTTCTAGGGTCAAAACTTTTTGATTTTCGTGTGGACCTTGGAAAGTTAGTTTTTAGACCATGAAAATGCCTAGAAATGACAAAAATGAGATTTTGTAATTTTTTGGAAATTTTTTTCAAAAAGTTTTTTTTTTTGAAAATACGGTTTTTTTCGTAATTTTATGTTCAAAAAGGGGTTATGAATCATTTTTTGACATGTAAAACTATCAAAAACGGTCCGAAACGGTCAAAAATGACGATTTTCAAAAAAGTGTGCCAAACGGCTCAGTGGGCTTTGGCACCAAAATTTTACGATCCACAAGGCCAAAAGTTCGATTCCTTCTGGGATCTAAATTTTTTGACTTTTGTGTGGACCACAGAAATATAGTTTTTAGGTCCTGAAAATGCCTAAAAAGACCAAATATTAGATTTCTGTAATTTTTTGGAATTTTTTTCAAAAAAAATTTTTCTTTGAAAATACGCTATTTTGTTATTTTTATGTTCAAAAAGGGGTTATGAACCATTTTTTGACATGTAAAACTATGAAAAACGGTCCAAAATGGTCAAAAATGACGATTTTCAAAAAAGTGTGTCAGATGGCTCAGTGGGCTTTGGCACCGAACTTTATGGTCCACAAGGCCAAAAGTTCGATTCCTTCTGGAGTCTAAATTTTTTGATTTTTGTGTGGACCTCGAAAAAGTAGTTTTTTGGCTATGAAAATGCCTAGAAAGTGTTTTTTTTTCAAAATTTCGCTTTTAGAAAAGTAGTTGTCAAAAATGCTATTTTGGCGTACCCTAGCCCTCAAAACCCTCAAAATTCGCTAATCCTTGACTCTCGGGACCTCTAAATTTGCTCATTTTAACCCAAAAAACCCCCCAAAAAGTTCCAGATTCTGGAATCTTTGGCTCGGTGCGAGCTCCGAGCAACGAGACGGCTGGAAGTTCGGAAGATCCAAATCCAAGAATCGGCATTCAAAATTACAACTTGTTTGGTGCCGACGATCCACAAGGCGGCAATTTCGATGCTCTTCGTTTTGGAAATTTCTAGAAAAATGGTCTAGAAAAATCTGAAAATCTGTGAAAATTGACCCAAAAACTGATCTAACCCCTAATTTTTGATTCGATCTGTAAATTTTTGATTTTGTAACATTTATAAATTTGTGTCTTGTACATTCTTTTTTTTTGAGAAATTACAGTCTCCAAAACCCCAAAAACTCCCGAAAAATCTACAGTACCCAGAATTTTTTTATTGTCAAAAATACGTAAAAAAAACTAGAGAAAAATATGCAAAATTTGGGGAAAAACTCGGAAAAATGGGGGAAAATAGATCACAAAAATAAAATGATGGAATTTTTAGAGTTAGAAAAAATAATTAAAAAATAAAGAAGAATTTGAAAAAAGAGAGGTATAGAAAATTAGAAAAAATAAAATTGAAAAAAAAAATAAATTAGAATTTTTCAAAAAATTATTAAAAAATTGAGTATATTTTCTCATCCGGAGCAGAGGGGACACTTTTTGGGACCATCTGGAATCGGAGATGTTGGATCTCGACCGCATCTCATGCACGCTGGAGGGTCGTTGGAATCTTGCTGCTGGAATATTTTAAACTTTGAAAATTGACCAAAACAGAAATTTTCAAAAAAAAAGATTACAACGTTTTTAACAGTTCTAAACATAAAAAACAATTCAAAACTACATTTTTAACTCTAAAACCCATCAAAAACGGTCCAAAACGCTCAAAAATGACGATTTTCAAAAAGCGTCTCAAATGGCTCAGTGGGTTTTGGCACCAAATCGTATGGTCCACAACACCAAAGTTCAATTTCTTCTGGGTTCAACATTTTTGATTTTTGTGTGGAACTCAGAAATATAGTTCTTAAACCATGAAAATGTCTAGAAAGTGGTTTTTAGATAGTTTTAAAATGTTTTGTGTTTTTTCACTGGGAAACATCATTTTTCACGATTTTTAGCAGTGAAAACAGTTCAAAACCACATTTTTAACCCTAACACCATCAAAAACAGTACAAAAACGCTCAAAAATGCGATTTTCAAAAAAGTTTACTAGATGGCTCAGTGGGTTTTGGCATCAAAATTTATGATCCACAAGACCAAGGTTCAATTCCTTTTGGAGTCAAAACTTTTTGATTTTTGTGTGGATCAAGAAAATATAGCTTTTAGACAATGAAAACGTCTGGAAAGTGTTTTTTTTTGGAATTTTATTTGAAAAAACTTCAAAACCTCCTTTTTTGGTATTGACTGGAAAAGGACATATTTTTGGCGATTTTGACTTGCAAAAGCACTTCAAAACCATATTTTTTTTACCTTAAAACCATCAAAAACGGTTCGAAACGCTCGAAAATAGCAATTTTCAAAAAAGTGGGCCAAACGGCTCAGTGGGTTTTGGCACCAAATTGTATGGTCCACAACACCAAAAGTTCGATTCCTTCTGGGGTCTAAATTTTTTGATTTTTGTGTGAACCTCGAAAATGCAGTTTTTAGATCATGAAAATGTCTAAAAAGTATTTTTTTAAATATTTTTTTTGAAAAAAGTTCAAAACCTTTTTTGGTATTTTTTCGACTAAAAAAGAACGTTTTTGACAATTTTGGCTTTCAAAAGCACCTCAAAACCATATTTTTTACCTTAAAAGTTCAAAACGCTCAAAAATAGCGATTTTAAAAAATGTGTGCCACACGGCTCAGTGGATTTCGGCACCAAAATCTATGGTCCACAAGGCCAAAGTTCAATTCCTTCAGGGGTCAAAACTTTTTTTATTTTTGTGTCGACCAAGAAAATATAGTTTTAAGATCGGGAAAATGTCTAGAAACGCCAGAAATGAGATTTTGAAATTTTTTTTGAAAAAAAAATTTTTCGAAAATTAATTTTTCAAAATTCCAAGAAAAAAGTCCTACCGCAAAAATATCAAAGTCCGGGCTGTGTGCGAGACTTGCCAGTGGACGGATACCGTCTTCTTGTGGGATACTGATGGATAGTGGGCGTGGCTCCGAGTTAATTGGTCCCATGGAATTTATAAATTCCATAATTCTGGAATTTTCTACAGTAACCGCTTCAAAACGCGCTTTCCACATTTGAGCACATTCATTCATGTTGCGTAGGGATTCTTCGAGGTACAGGCATCTTTGATTTACGTCGTTGTGGTCTGGCGGGAATCCTAAAAATTCAAGAATTGAAAAAACAATTTTTTTTTGAATTTTTTTACCTTCTTGTGGACCATTTTGACCACTTGGGCCGTTTGGGCCATCGTTCAGGCTCAAGGCCATAAAATCTGGTAATTCCTCATTTTCGGGCCGCCAGTAGAGACTTGGAGACGTCAAATTGGAGCTTCCGAGATTCTGAAAAAAAAATTTGAAAAAAAAATTTTGGCCTAAAAGCCTAATTACCTCGTTTGGTCCACCATAGGGTTTCGGGGAAATTGGAACTGAAAAAAAATTTTAAAATTTTAAAAAAATTTCAAAAAAAAAATGTTTTTTCAAAAATTTCAATTTACCGCCATTTTCCAATCCAAGCTCTCCTCTCATGTAGACGTCCCGCAACGGGTACTTTTCCATTTCGTTGTGTGAAAAGGCGCAGAAAATTCCTCGCGGGCAGAATCCGTACTGAAAATTTGAAATTTTTGAAAAAAAAAATTTCAAAAAATTTTTTTTTTCAATTTTTCAAAAAATCTGGCCCACTTCCAACAAATCATTGCACTTCATCGATTTATAGACTTCCGGATGGAATTGTTGCTCAGTCCTAGTATGACAGTACTGACAGTTGTCGCCGCCTGCACACATGTCTGGATCCTCCCATTCGTTGTTGGGTTTGGCCGATGGGCAAGCGGTGGTTCTGAAATTTGCCATAACTTGCCCCACGTTTGCCCAATAGTGTTGAAAATTTGATAATTGGATTGAGCGTTAAATTTCCGACATTTTGAGCCCCATATCGACTATATTTCGTCAATTTTCACTTTCGACCGCTTCGGCCGCGGTCGAAAAGCAAATTAGTCCAAATGTGGTCAATATGGGGTGCAAATTGTCAGAAATTCGATGGGAATTTGAAAAATTATGTTTTCCACTATTTTAAACGAGTTTTTGGCTAAATTTGGGGATTTATAGTTATTGGCGCCAAAAATTCGAATTTTGAAAATTTTGAAAATTTTCTCCAAAGATGGACCTAACTGCCTAAAACTATAATTTTTGAGTTTCCCATCAAATTTCCAACATTTTGAGCCCAATATCGACCATTTTTGGTCAACTTTCATTTTCGACCGCTTTGACCGCCGCCGTGTGGTCGAAAATCAAGTCAGTCCCAATGTGGTCAATATGGGGGTCAAAATCTCAGAAATTTCATTTAAAATTCAAATTCAAAATTTTCAACTCTTCAAAACCTTACCTGTACTTGAACACTGCCGGTGAACGTCTCCTATCCTTCGAATTATGATAGAATGGGCAAGCGTAGCCCTGCCTACAGTAGCTCACCGGTTTTCGGCAGAATTCTGTTTTGTAGTTCAAGACAACGAATTCGTGACCTAGAATTTTTTTTTAATTTGCAGTTCTGCAGTAACCCTTACCATTCCATTGCTCATCCTCATCGATTACCGATGCTCTGCTATTTTTTCGGGACCGGGTCCACTCGGTAATTTGTCCAGAATCGTAATACCCTACTGTAGGTGGTCGGCGGTCTCTCTCAGAGTGAGAGTAGGCACAAAATGGGCCATTCTGAAAAAAATTTGAAAATTGAATTTTTATGTATTTTGAGTTTTTGGCCGCCCAAATCGGGTTTGAATTAGCTGAAAGCATGAATTATAAATTTTTCATCGAATTTCTGACATTTTTCACCCCATATTCACTATATTTGGACTAGTTTGATTTTCGACCGCGGCCGAAACGGTCGAAAATAAAAGTTTACCTAATATGGTCGATATGGGGCTCAAAACGTTAGAAATTCTCTGTTGAACTCCAAAATAGTAGTTTCAAACATTTTAATCATTTTTTGAGAAAAAAATGAGATTTTTTGAAATTGGGATTTTTGGCGCCAAAAACTGTAAATGGCCAAATTTCTCCCAAATCATGTTTTAATTGGCTGAAAGCGTTATTTTTTAACTTTTCATCAAATTTTTAACATTTTTCACCCCATATTCACCATATTTGGACTAGTTGGATTTTCGACCGCGGCCGAAACGGTCGAAAATGAAAGTTGACCAAAAATGGTCGATATGGGGCTCAAAATTTTGGAAAATTTAAGCTGAATTCAAAAATCGCACTTTCAAATTCTGAAATCAATTGCATAACAAGATTTCTTTGAAAGAAAAAAATTCAAAAAAAAAAGTTTTTTGCCCAAAACTTGCCCAACCTTTGCACAATGTCCCTTTGAATTCGTCGAGTGCACACACATTGCAGTTTTGAAGTACCTTGGATGGTATTTTCTCTCTACGTCGCCAGAAACTCGGTGCAGATATTTGCAGCTGAAAATTTCAATTTCAGAAAAAAATCCTCAAATTTTCAAAAACTCACTCATCCCCATTACTACAAACTCCATTTTTCTCCTCATACTCGTTACAGTATACGTCTGGTGAGTAGTTGAACGACCCATCCGGATTCAGAATTGGTCTGGAAAATGGTGGCAAAATTAAATTTTTGCCCAGACTAGGGCATTTAAGTCGTTCGAAACAGTTGGAAAATGTTATATTTGAATTTCCTATCAAATTTGTGACATTTTGAGCCTCATATTGACCAAATTTGGACTAGTTTGGTTTTCGACCAAACCCGGCGGTCGAAACGGTCGAAACTGAAAGTTTACCTAGTATGGTCGATATGGGGCTAGAAATTTTCTGATGATTTCTAAAATAGTAGTTTCAGACAGTTTGATCATTTTTTGAGAAAAAAATGAGATTTTTTGAAATTGGGATTTTGGCGCCAAAATCATAAATTCCCAAATTCATACCGAGTATTAATTAGCGGAAAACGTTATTTTTCAACTTTTCATCAAATTTCTGACATTTTGAGCCCCATATTGACCATAATTAGAATAGTTTGATTTTCGACCACACGGCGGCGGTCGATACGGTCGAAAATAGAAGTAGACCAAATATGGTCGATATGGGGCTCAAATCGTTGGGAATTTCATGATGAATCCAAAAAAAGTAGTTTCAGGCAGTTTAGTTTGATTTTCGACCGCGGTCGAAACGGTCGAAATTGAAAGCGGACCAAAAACGGTCGATATGGGGTTGAAAACGTTAAAAGTTTCATGATAACCACAAAAGATATAGTTTCAGGTAGTTGGAACATCTTTGAAGTAAGTTAGATAAATTTTTGAAACTTGAAGTTTTGCTTTCTCATCGAATTTTTGTCCTTTTGAGCCCTATATTGACCACACTTGGACTGAATCGATTTTCGACCACACGGCGGCGGTCGAAACGGCCAAAAATTAAAGTTGACCAAAAATGGTCGATATTGGGCTCAAAATGTTGGAAATTTGATGGGAAACTCAAAAATTATAGTTTTAGGCAGTTAGGTCCATCTTTGGAGAAAATTTGAAAAATTTTCGAAATTCGAATTTTTGGCGCCAATAAATCCCCAAATTTAGCCAAAAACTCGTTTAAAATAGTGGAAAACATAATTTTTCAAATTCCGATCGAATTTCTGACAATTTGCACCCCATATTGACCACATTTGGACTAATTTGATTTTCGACCGCGGCCGAAGCGGTCGAAAATGAAAATTGACGAAATATGATCGATATGAGGCTCAAAATGTCGGAAATTTCACGCTCAATCCAAATATCGCATTTTCAACACAATTGGGCAAACCTTGGGCAAGCTATGGCAAATTTCAGAACCACCTCTTGCCCATCGAAACGGTCGAAAATTAAAGCTTACCAAACATGATCGTTTTGAGGCTCAAAACGTACAGAATTTCATGATAAACTCAAAAAAATCAATTTCAGACAGTTTGAGGATCATCTTTGTAGAAAATTTGAAGGTTTTTTGAAATTTGGATTTTGGCGCCAAAAACTAAAAATGCCCAATTTAACCCAAATCGGATTTAAAGTAGTTTGAAAGGTTTTTCCTGACGTTTTCATCGAATTTCTGTCATTTCGAGCCCCATATTGACCACATTTGGACAAGTTTGATTCTCGACCGCGGTCGAAGCGGTCGAAAATGAAAGTTGACCAAATATGGCCAATGTTGAGCTCAAAATTTCAAAAATTTCCTGACGAATTCAAAAATCGCATTTGGAAATGCTGAAAAGTTTCAGGACGACTGCAAAAAAGATTTTTCGAAAAAACTTAAAAACAGTTTTTTTTCAAATTTTTTGGGCAAGCCAAGGACAAGATTTGGGGAAGAGGACCGAAAATTGCTTACACTCTGCGTCTCTGATTCTCATAATGCCAATTGAAGCAAGTGAACGGTTTGTGGTTGTGACATTTTCGCTGCTCGAACAGCATACAGTGGTCCACACGGAATTTTTCGATCATGCTGAAAAAAATCGATTTTTTGTCTGGATAGTTCAGAATTATTTTTTCATTTTCAGATTTGTGATGTTAAGAGCATCAAAATGAGCCCAAACACGACTGATTTTTGAAAATTTTGATTTTCAGACTTTTTCAGGCCGAATTTCAGCCAAAAACTGAAAATTTTGAAATATGCCGTGTTTAGGCTCATTTTGAAGCTGAAATCAAGTCAAACACAAATTTCTTATAAAATTTCAAAAATTTCAAAAATTGACCGAGTTACGGTAGTTTCTAAATTCCAAAAAAAAAGTTGTCAAAAATATGCTCTGACTTTTTAAATTTGAATTTTGAGTTTAAATGCTTCAGAAACTTCAAGAATTCTTGAAAAACTCACTGAACATGGTTTGGTTTTTCCTCCTCAAACATGTGGTTTGGTGTTGTTGGTGCGGAAGGGTCCATAAATTTTTTGTTATTCATAATTATTTTTTGCTAATTATACATAATTATGTGTGATGTAATCTGCAAAATATGGGAAAAATTAGAAAACATACGATTTGGGGAAAAGGGAAAATAAAACATGAGAAAATAAAAAATGAGAAATTCAGAAATTCAGAAATTCAGAAATTCAGAAATTCAGAAACTCAGAAATTCAGAAATTCAAAAATTTAGAAATTCAGAAACTCAGAAATTCAGAAAATCAGAAAATCAGAAATTCTAAAATTCTAAAATTCTAAAATTCTAAAATTCTGAAATTCAGAAATTTAGAAATTCAGAAACTCGGAAATTCAGAAATTTAGAGATTCAGAAATTCAGAAATTCAGAAATTTAGAAATTCAGAAACTCAGAAACTCAGAAATTCAGAATATCAGAAAATCAGAAAATCAGAAAATCAGAAAATCAGAAATTCTAAAATTCTAAAATTCTAAAATTCTAAAATTCAGAAATTCAGAAATTCAGAAATTCAGAAATTTAGAAATTCAGAAATTCAGAAATTCAGAAATTCAGAAACTCAGAAATTCAGAAATTCAAAAATTTAGAAATTCAGAAACTCAGAAATTCAGAAAATCAGAAAATCAGAAATTCTAAAATTCTAAAATTCTAAAATTCTAAAATTCTGAAATTCAGAAATTTAGAAATTCAGAAACTCGGAAATTCAGAAATTTAGAGATTCAGAAATTCAGAAATTCAGAAATTTAGAAATTCAGAAACTCAGAAACTCAGAAATTCAGAATATCAGAAAATCAGAAAATCAGAAAATCAGAAAATCAGAAATTCTAAAATTCTAAAATTCTAAAATTCTAAAATTCAGAAATTCAGAAATTCAGAAATTCAGAAATTTAGAAATTCAGAAATTCAGAAATTCAGAAATTCAGAAACTCAGAAATTCAGAAATTCAGAAATTTAGAAATTCAGAAACTCAGAAATTCAGAAATTCTAAAATTCTAAAATTCTAAAATTCAGAAAATTCTGAAATTCTAAAATTCTAAAATTCTAAAATTCTAAAATTCTAAAATTTTAAAATTCTAAAATTCTAAAATTCTAAAATTCTAAAAATCCAAAAATGTTGTTATTTCCCAAAAGACAGAGAGAAATTTGAAAACTGCAAAAATCTGAAAAATGCAAAAAAAAGTAAATTTTCAGACGAAAAAGTTGCTGCTGAAAATTCAAAAAAAATATTCTAGAACCAATTGCGAAATCGAAAAATCTATATTTCCAAAAAAAAGAGCGAAAAAATTAGAATTTCTCTTCTTTTTTCCAGCAGAAACAGCAGCAGTATTATAGGATTTCTCTGTTTCTCTCTGCGTCTCTTACTCTCTCTTTCACTCCAAAAAAAAAAGGCAAAAATGTGACCAGAAAAAGAGAGGAATGGCCTTTTTTTGAAATAGAAAAACACACAAACAACATGGAAGCGAGAGAGTAGAAAACTGAGAAGAGACGCGGAGAAGCAGAGACGCATAGAGATTGAAATCGGAGATTTCAAAAGGAAAGTGTCCTTTTGAACGCTTTTTTGGTTTTTTTGGGGGACACCAGAAAGACGGAAAAGCGGCTTTTCGTGGCCTTGAGGATTTGAAAATGGAGAGATTGGAGAGAGAGAAAAAAGAAAAAAAAAGGAATTCAAATTCTGAAATTTCGGTATTTAGAATTCAATATTTTCAGAATTTCAGAATTTCTCAATTTCTGAATTTTCGAATTTTTGAATTTCTGAAGTTTCGAATTTCTGAATTTTCGAATTTCTGAATTTTCGAATATCTGAATTTTCGAA